CAATATTTACTCTTTCTGTCCTGGAACGTGTATTCTCTCTGCTCTGGAACATGTATTCTCTGTGCCCTGGAACATGTATACTCTCTGCCCTGGAACATGTATACTCTCTGCCCTGGAACATGTATACTCTCTGCCCTGAATTATGTATTCTCTCCGCCCCAGATCATGGATTCTCTCTGCCTTAGAAATATGTATTCTCTCTGCCTCAAAATATAGATTCTCTCTGCCTTAGAAACATGTAATCATGTATTCTCTGCACCTTGGAACATGTATATTTCTGCTCTGGAACATATACCCTGTCTAAGAAAATATTTTTTATATCTATGTTCTGGTCGTCGTGCAGTGACCTATTCGATATGGGACCCATAGCAACATACACAACATTGCCAGTAAAATACATTGAATTTTGAACATGCAATGTGTGACAGCTACCGCCCTTTATGTTTTTTCTTTTGTTAAACTACACTCCTATGTGTACTGTAAAATACTTTATTTTCACTTGGAATTAATTGTTGCTGTTTTCGCTGAAGGAAAGATTCAGTGAAAATAAAATCCAGCGAATATACCTTTTTCCTATATTTTACATTTAATTCATCAGAAATCAGTGAAAATAAATTCCATACAAAACACTAAAAAAGTCTTTTCAGCGAAAATTAATTCCAGCTAAAATAAATTAATTTACAGTATATATCGTGATACAAATATAAAACAAAAACTAATGTAAAGTAATGATGTCATATGATTCGCTAATATGGATCGAGGTAAATAGATATTATTAATACTGCAAACTTTATACAGGTTTTGCAGGATTCGTTGTGTGCATCTACTGACTTGGAACAAATGTGGCAAAGCAACATGGAAATGGGAATTGATTCCTTGCGATGGCAGGAATTCATAGACTCTACATTGGGGTATACCTTACTGTATCCAGCAACACAGGAAGATAACACACAGTGTGCTGATGATTACGATCCAAGGCTGCAATCTGTGAGTAAAACTTTCTTTGATAAATTACATACATGTACATGTAGGTTTCATAACACAATTACGGTAGAATTTGAATTTGACGCGGGTCATGCAAGCACTCAGAAATGTAACCTCATCTATTTTGAAAACAACTGTTTTTAAAGGGATGGCATGCTTGTATTTTAAATTTGCCTATAGCAGAATAGCCATGTCTTAGGTTTGTGAGTGGAATTTTGGTGAAAATCAACTAGTTTTGAAATGGTAGACTGGCACATTTACTGTCGAGTACCCAGCTTAGTCAATCTTTCTGGTATTGTCAATACCTGTGTGGTTGAATCTTCTTCCTTTTTTGATTTTCAACATCTGAGTTTGTTTACTATTTGATTTTTTTTAATTCTGGCCCTGCTTTGCAAAGTTTTACAATGTTGTCCATAGGAAGTATCACTGTGATTTGTTATTTATACTTTGCAAGACTTTGCAGCTAATGTTAAATTCTGAAATGAGTTATGATTTATTTTAAAATAGTACATACCATATTTTCTCTATTAGGAGCACATGTGCTTACGTAAATAACAGACATTTTTCTATGGTCAAAATAAGTAATATTTTAATGATTTAGTATGTACACCTATGTGATTTTGGGTTTATATACGACTTTATTAGAGATGCTACTTTAATAGAGAAAATACGATATACAATTATAATACTTAAAAACAAATACAGTACAGTACAGTACAGTACAGTATAAATCATTTGAAGAATCTAAAATTATCGTTAGTTTTGAATTTGTATCATTTGTATACCCTACCTCACCCACATAGCTTAGGCACATTGAACACAAAGTAATAACTCCCAGTTACATGTACTTCCTTTAATGTTTGTTATAAAATGGGGATAGATAAGAAAAATGTGGTCAGCAGAATTTTGCTCATCAAATCCTTGTCATGAATAAAGAACAAATATTCCTTTTGAAACAGGCAAGGGAACACACTTTGAGTGAAATAGGTTCGGGTGGGTAGAAGAGTTTGCTACTATTTAATAAAAGACAGTGTGTTCTTTAAAATGTGGTATACTTATACATGTACCACTATATTAAAAAAAAGGAATAAAAAACAAAAAAAATTTCTGGATTCATGAAAGCCCCCCTTTTCTTTTTCAGTGGTCTACCCTTAATCTGTTTCAAAAGAAAATATTATTCGTCATTCATGACAAGAGGGAATTCCTTCATGTAGCTATTAAATTAGGCAATGAATGCAGCTTAAGATTTGATTGGTTTCTCTTGTTTCAACTCTGACAGATGGAGTCAACCTACAGTATGCTTTTGTAATAATGAACTAAATTCACATGGCTAATAAAATAAACTGACCATTTTGCCTAGTTATTGTAGTAAAGGTCTGGCCAACCTCGGAAAAAGCCGTAGACCCTAAACATGGTTGATATTGTAACTCTCCTGACTTATTCAGTAAAACACCCTCTGTTGATGTGTTGACGTTCTTCTCTAAAAACTGATTTTCAGTGGTATGTAAATATGGTGTCACCACCCAAGGATGTTGTCATAGTGATTGATGGTACCATGGATACCAATTTGCGACTGATGAAGAAAGCTGCCTCGGCTGCTGTCAATACATTAACAAAGAATGATCATGGACTGATTATTGTTTTGTCTTCTCAGTCAGAAGGAAAATTTAATGAAACATTATTGAAGGTAAGAAGAAATGATAATAATATAATTTTTCAGCAAACATGAGTGAGAAATATTTGACAAGCTTTACAAAACTTTGCTAAAATCAAACTAGAAGAAAATATAAGTGTAGCAGCAACAGTATTAAAGATGAAGTTCATTTTATTACAGACTGTAGCTATTACACTGATGAAAGGGATATTATGTATGATGAATTTACCAAGGAAATCCTCACTTTCCAGTCTGAAAATAATAAACAAAGTTATCCTTATTAATAATAATAATCCTAAACTAATTAGACATGTGACACGGTATCTGAAAGTGTCTTTTGAAAAACACAAACTACATTAATTTTTTACTACCTAATCTTATGTTATTTTAACTGTTTTTTACTTTATACCTTTTTACCTTTTTTACCTTTTATTACTTTCAGCCAAAAATAAATTTGTAATTTCATTACGGTGTAATAAAACTGTATTATTATTATTATAATCATGGGATTCTGAAACTTAATTTAACTTTCACAAAATGAAGCTGCATATATATATATATATATATATATATATATATATATATATATTAGGATAGTCCTAGTTTTTTGATGCATTCGGAAAACAAAAGATCTTTGGATTGACTTCTATATGTTATGCATGTTATTCAACTGTATCTCAAACATGCCACATTTAAACTTCTTGCGATACATGTGTTGGTCAGTCATTTCACAACCTGATTCAAGATGGCTGGATGGTGACCATTTTCATGTTAAAAATACATAAAAATTGAGCATTTCTATGATTTCT